TTTTGTAACAAATTTGGAGATTGTTATGTAAAAATGTGTCAATTATTTATAAAAATAAATCCAAATACAAACTAATTTAAAAACCATGCAAATTTGATACAAATGTAGGAAACAAATAGTTGTATAATTCATAACAATTCCTTTCAATCTTTTTGACTATTTTTTTTTTAAAAATATCCTAAGCATATTTTTTTGGACACATTACATTTTACCTTAACTTACATATAATCACATTCCTAACAAATATTAAATTTGCTTATATATTTTTAAATTAATTACTTCAAGAAATAATATTAATATACATTAAATATTTATTACTATATAAAAAAAGAACATTACTTCTATAAGTGTTATAAATAATAATAACATTATACGATAATAAATTTTTGAATAAAATAATATTTGAGTATTATGATGAACCAAAATATGTAAAATTATTATTTTTCTGCATTAAAAAATAAATGCATATGTTAAGATATTATTTATATTAATATAAACAAGTCAGTGGGCTAATATATTGTTGAAATAAAGTTTTGAAAAAATATTCTAAGGTACAAAACTCCCGTTCAACGCACGGAATTCTCACTAGTTAAGATAAAAGGTTAAAGTAAGTGTAACATTAAATAGTATTTATTATGACAAATTATGAAGACACACTTACTCACATGATTATAACAATATGGATATCCATATTGTTATTTATATGATCCATATTGTTATTTATCTTGTCATAATATATAGTTATATACTGCCTTTGGCTCACACACCAATATGCATGTCACGAAGGAAATAAACCAAAGTATGTATAAAAGTATTATATTCTATAATCGTGTGAATAAGTGTAGATGACTTCATAAATCGCTCCGATGACTCCGTAGCAAAATTCACTCACATAATTTAACTATCCATCATTTTAAATCTATATCTCTCTCTTACTTTGAGCTTAAATCAACCTTAATCATTTTATTTTAAATATCTTTTAACATAAAATCAAAATCTCACTAACAACTATGAATACCATATTTTTTATAATTAACTCTAATTAAAAAAAAAAAATTGAGCGGATTAATTTATAAACAACTACGCCCTAAGATGTCTAGTAAATATTTAAGTAAATTATAAATTAATAGTGGGAACTATAAAATTAATTTTGTATAAGATCAAAAAAACATAATTTTCTACTCCCTCCTATTTTTAATATTTGTCATTCTAGCTTAATTGATCATTTATTAAATAAATATCGTTTTGGCTATTTTGTTCATATTTTTCCTTTTTAACCCCTCCATCAATACCCATTGTCTCTTCATATCTATATATATATAATAAGAATTAACATTTACTAAAAATAGTAGCCAAAAATTTCGGAAACATTTAATGCATACTATTTTTAGAAACTTTTTAAATATATACATTAATTTCTTCCATATACATACTAGTACAGAGCCCGTGCGATGCACGGGGTGCACAATTTTAAGGCTATTTTTCCAGACTTATAATTATATACATGAATAAAGAAAAATGTACGGAATATATATAGTACGTGACCCGCGAGATATATTTATTTGGAGAATATTATATTATCAGATGCAATATTCAATAAAAGTTTATAATATAAAGAAATTGTACGATGTTCAATAAAAATTTTATAATATTCAAGTGGAGTCTTAAAGTCTTTTGTACATTAAGACTACTGACAAAATAATATTTTAATCAATGAGTTTCATTTCCTTGTAGCCAAATTGTGAATGTGATTTGAGGAGTACAACAAACCGATATATAGCTGACTTGTTTTTTTCATTGTAGTTTTTTTTTTTTATAATGAATTTAAAGATATTCTAAAATATAGAAAAAATTAATTTTTTATTACAATTAGGAATTTTACTAAATATAAACTTTCAATCTATGGTGTTAATCAACGTTTAAGTCTAAAAAATTAGGAATTTTTACCTCTTTTAATCAACGTTTAAGTCTAAAAAACAATAGAGTTATTATAAGTTTTTTTCTACATCTTTTAAAACATTAAATATGAGCATGTTAGGCTAGCTTGTAAAATAATTAATATATTATCTCACTAAAACATTTATACTAATAAAAATTTAATTTTAGCATATAAATTTATCCCTTGATATAAGAGAAAGTAACAGTTTTACTTATTGTTGTTCACCATATAATATTTAATTATTATTTTATTATATAATAAAAAAGAAATATTGTTAAATAGTGTAGTAGAATTGTTATAAAATTATATGATTTTTTTTTTTAATATGGATTTAATATTTTTTTTATGATTTGATAATATAAACAAATCTATACTTAACTTTGACAAATAAAACAAATAAATACTTTAGTAAGTATTTAATGTATATACTAAATAGGAATATATTTGGTATAATCAAATACCAAATATAATCAAATAAGTCAAAATGTACATTTTTATTTGGTATTTAATTTTTTTATTATTAAAATCTTTTTATTATACTTACTTTTTTAAAATAAAACAAATAAATAAATCAATTAAATAAATAAAATATTATAATACCAAAATAGTAATGACATTTAATGCAGTTGACTTTTCTGGATAATAAATGTAGTAAATAGAATATCCTTTTATATAATATAATACAAAAATAGTAATGCAATAAATGTTGTTGATTTTTCTGGCTACTTAATTTGGTAAATAGTACCCCCTTTAATATAAGTATAGATTTTCAAATAAGATCAAATAAAATATGATCAAAAAATTACTTAATTAGATTTATTATTATCTGCAATATTTTTATTAATATTTATTATAATAAATTACAAGATTGATTTTTCGTGATTCATGTTGATAATAATTTGGTCAAGATAAATATTATTTTATTAATATTTGTAATACTTTCATTGATATTCATTATAATAAATTACAAGATTGATTTCCATGATCCATGTTGATAATATTTTGGTCAAGATAAATATTTCACCATATGTTAAGTTCTAACCATAATATTAATTTTTTTCACAAATATTCACTTTTTATCCAAAAATATTTATGGAAAATTGTAACAAGTCAGGTAATTTTATTTTTTTTAAAGTAATAAGACAAAATCAAGTTGGTGAATTAATCTTTGCCAATAGATTTTTTTCTTGAGCTTTATTTTGTTAAATATAAAAAATAAATTGTTCTTCAAATTAATATAATTTATCATTTAAGAGATAATGACTAGATACATTAAATAGTTTTACTAATGGTAAAAGATTTGAAATATAATAAGTATTTTTTTAAGATTTATTTGTATATTATTGGCACCCATGATTATTTTTTTTTATTTTCATTTATTTCTATAATTAAATTCTTGTAAAATATATTTTCATTGCAGAGTATGCTAAATAAACTATAAATCCTTATAATGCGAATTAGAAAAATCTTGATCATAGAAGAGATTGAGTTTTTGGCATTTCCTAATTAGTATACAAAATTAAATTCTAAAAAAACATGTGTATATTTTGTAAAATATTTATACACTATCTAATTTTAAATTTATTTACATATTTTAAATTGGTTACATAAATAAATAATACTAACGTACATTAAATATTTTTCATTACATAAAATAAAAAGAAAAATAAGACGTACAACTTCTATAACTTTCTAAATAATAATGACAATATATGACAACAAAGTTTATAATAAAATAATAATTAAGTATTATATAGTGAACAAGAATAAGTAAAATGATATTCTCTCTTATATCAAAGAATAAATATATATATTAAAATTAAATTTATATTATTATAAATGTGTTGGAGAGATAATATATTAATTATTTTACAAGTTAGTCCTAACATGCTCATATTTAATGTTTTGACTAAAAAACAACGCGTGCAAAATAGATTGTAACCTTATTGGTTATTACAATTAACGCTGATTAAAAGAGGTGAAAAATAGATGATAACTTTTATATACGTAAACGGACAAAGCCTGTGAAAATAACTCATTTAATATTTCTGTTCCGTGCATCGCACGGGTACGTACTAGTTCTCAAGAACATCCATTCACAATTGTGTCATTAAATAAGGTTAAACTTGGAAAGAAAAATATTTCTTAATTAGTGTGTTGATAGCCAGGATGACAAATATTTAAAATAGGAGGAAGTATGAGATAAAAACTAGTACGTAACCCGTGCGATGCACGGGATGTAAAATTTGGAAGAATAATATAACCTCACGTGCATTAGGATCGAAATTGAAATCATTAAAATACATAGAAACATTGTTGATTCATAAAAAGTTCGATAACAATCATATATTATTAAAAACTTCTTTGTACACAACATTATGAGTTTGATTATTTGGTAACTCCTCATTATCACAAACTAATATTTTCAAAAGAGACAAATCCTAAAAATCAAACTAATATTTTTGGTGAACAAACTAATATTTTAGGATTTCTAGGATTTGTCTCTTTTTGGTGAACCTGTTTTTTGTGTTCTTTTCATTCATTTTCATTCAAACAATCCGATGACTTGAATAATGAAATCTGAATCTTAAGCCGAAATATTTAAAAAAAGAGTTTTTAAAAATTAAAAAGTCAATACAATCAGTTCAGATTAATTAAAGGTCAAAGAATATCTGCTCCTTCAAATAAAGACGTGTGTTATCATTAACCAAATATCCGGTTATTGATATAGAGTGGTTACTAAAAAATAGAACGTGATAAGGACGCTTCATGGAAATATCAATGAGATAAAGTCATAACAAATCGCTATACATTTTAACGATAAAAGCTCAGATGGAATGATTTATGATAATTATGTTGTAATTAATGAATTAATTAGATATGTAAAATGGACATAATTAATGAGAGGTGTGAAAATGACATAATTAATGAGAAGTGTGAAAAGGACAAAAACTTACCGGTTTTGGAAAATATTCAATGCAAATCCGACATTGACCATAATTTGACCTACTATTTTGGATAAATGTCAATAATTCTTATTATATAAGTATAGATTGCAATTTTTTCTATCAAAAAGTGACCTGTCTCCGGCGAAATGACCTCGAAATTCCACGGCGCGTCCGGCCCTCATCACCGGCTCTGCTCTCACACGCGCCGCCTCCTCCGCTACTCCATCGCCTCTCGGCTTCTCGTACTATCCCTAATCATCATCTGGCGATCTCTGCTGAGCCCGTACGACACATCCGCTTCAATAAATCCGCCGTGCCTCTCCTCCTCCGGCACATCAGATCTTCCGTTGCCGGTCCTCCTTCCGAGATTGGGTTCCGTGATCGAGGAAAGTGTTGTGTGGGATGGAGTTTACTTTGCACGCATCGCCGAGTGCGGATATGAATACGAACAGACCTACGCCTTCTTGCCTTTGCTTCCCCTTTGCATTTCCTGTCTCTCCAAAACAGGTATTTTCATTTTGTTTCTCAAATCAGTCAGCTTTTTAGTTTCATCGATGTTAACATGTTACGTGTTGGTAGACGAAAGTGAGAGGCGAATCTTATGCAAATTACTGGGTTCATTCTCTCCAACTTGCTTATTGCCTGTTCAGGTTTTCAATTTTTGTTCTTAAATCAGTTAGTTTTTAGGTTTCGTCGACATTAACATGCTAGCGAGGTTATGTCTTGGTAGACAAAAGTAAGGAAAATTTATGCGAATTTAGCTTACTGGGATTTTTCCATTCTCCCTAAGATGCTTATTATCTGTTCTGTACAGATGTTTTTCTTGTGCTGTTGGGAAAAGTTTTGATGTTTTTTTCCTGCTATGCAGTTTTTGCTCCACTAGTGCCTGTGATTGGGTACAGGGCGGTACTGGGTTTATCCGGTTACGTGATCAACAACATTGCTTTTGTTTTCGCTTCATTATATCTTTACCAGTGAGTTTCCAGTTGGAGCTATCTGTTCTTTTTTGCTTTGTGTATGTGAACACTTAATCTGAAATTCAAATAATTGACTTGACTCTTGTGGAAAGTGTGACGATAGACTAGGATTGATAAGTCCATAGTTCAGATCTTGTTATCATCTCTCAGTGTTCTTTTCTCATTTATTGTACTTTTTACAGGCTTTCAGTAGCTGTTTTGGAGGACCAAGAGGTAGCGTTGAGAGCATCAGTCTTGTTCTGCTTCAATCCAGCTTCCATATTCTACTCATCAATGTAATTTCTGAAACTTTTGTTTCGCAACTTGCCCGCATAGAATGGCCTTGAGTGGTGATGCTTGTTTTCATAATTGCAGATATTCTGAGAGTCTGTATGCTCTCATGACATTTGGAGGATTGTATCATTTCTTGAGTGGCTCCAACTTATTTGCAACATTTTGTTTTGCTCTCTCTGGTTGTGCACGGTCAAATGGGGTGCTTAATGCAGGCTATATTTGCTTCCGCTCTATGCAACAAATGAAAGAAGCTTTTATTTCCAGAAAATGGTCTTATGTAAGTGTTATTCTTCTTTAAGTAGTGTCATGTACAGTAGCCTTACCTGCATTTACTAGATTCTGCCAGGGAAAACTGTTAAATTTTTTAAGTTCATTTCACAGAGTACTGCACTGTTAACTACCTGAATTGAAGATTTTAATTTCTTTCTTATCTTATGGTTGTATAAAAAACATAAATGTTGGTTTGGTGCAAGAGCCCGATTTTATCACTTGGGCTTTTATTGCAATTATGATGACATTTATATCTGCATGGTTATTATTGAAGAGCTTTGTAATTGAATATTAGTGTTTCTCCTTTGCTGCTACAAGTCTTGAACTTTTTTTTTTTTTTCCTGAAGTTATATCATTGTTGTTTATAGGTATCATGAAGAAGATTTAACTTTCTGTGGCCTTATTATATTTACAAACTCTTTCATCCTTTTTCTTTAAATTAACTATGGTCTGTTTGTGTATTCCAGCTGCTAATGGCGAAAGTTATTATCGTCGGGGTTTCATGTTCGATTTGCATATTTGCTCCCTTTATCTCTTTTCAAGCATATGGATACTTCAACATATGCAAGGGTCGTTCTGCAGATGAAATGAGTCCGTGGTGCAAGGCAAGACTTCCTTTACTCTACAATTATATTCAAAGCCACTATTGGTATGTTGAACTTATGGTCTATAACGTCTGTTGTTAATCTCTTTGTTTTTACTCCATATTTTGACATGTGGATAACTGGAGAGCTCTGGTCGCCTTCTCTTTTTTGAATATTTTATAAAGTCTACTGTTGAATTTATGTTAAGGTTCTTCNTGCTATTCTGATGGCTGTGCTAATTTTCTGCCAGGGGAGTGGGATTTCTTAGATATTTTCAAGTTAAACAGTTGCCCAACTTTCTACTTGCTTCTCCAATATTATCTCATGCGGTTTGCTCAATTCTCTACTATGTCAAGCTATGGCCTGAGGTGTTTCTCTCACTCGGCCTGCGAGTTTCACCATTATCGAAGAGGAAAGAAGGGTTAATGAGCAGTTCTAGTTCCTCTGAGAATGATACTCCTAATGTATTGTCAGGTGCGCAATATTCTTTTAAGCTACTTGAGGATATATTTGTGTATGCAGTCTTATGTGTGGAGTGGTATATCTTGAAATCCAATACAAGAGCAAGATACTTTCTCCTCTTCAGTTATCCATTTCGGTGCACACAAAATGCCTTTCGTTAATTAGACAGCTGCATATTATTAATATATTCATTATTTTATCACTTCAATTTTGTTGTTCATGCTGCCCAGTTCCCTAATTCTGATAATATATGGTTTTGAAGTGTTAAGCAAACACGAAATTCAAAACTTAAATTTCTCATGAAAGTTTGCTCACTACCTTTGCCTTTGCTTCTAGTCGCCTTTTGTATATAGAAATATAACCAAGAAATTTTTTACCTATTTCTTTCGTTCGAATTGTGGGGCACTACCATCTCACTTGGAACTGTTATCCAAATCAGATGACAGCGCTCGTGGACTGAAGAAGAGAGAGAGAGCTATCAAGAGAGAAGTTTTGGTTATGAAGCCATTAAAAAGCAAAACACCAGATAACCCACCATATGATCCTGTTCTTCTTCTTCCTTTTGTTCTACACTTGAGCTTCATGGTTGCTACTGCATTTTTTGTCATGCACGTTCAGGTCAGCCACAGATTCCAAATGTGTACTTTCGTATTTACAGAAAAAGGATTTGTACAGCTTTTTACATGAGCTGCTGCGTAGTTTTCTATTTTTGATCTTCCACTGGAAGATAATACACTGCTTAAAGTCATTTCTTATCAATGATATAGTTCAAGCATGCTTTAGATTAGTGAATCATTATATACCTAATCAACTGAACATTTTATTTTCGTTAGTCACAAATCATTATCCTATCGGTTGTGGTTGACAGGTGGCGACTCGTTTTTTATCAGCTAGCCCAGTTCTGTACTGGTATGCCTCCCTCATTATGGGATCTCCTTCTGTTGGGAGAAGGTGGGGTCATCTCATATGTGCATATTGCACGGCTTACATTTTGCTTGGGAGTTTGCTTTTCTCCAACTTTTACCCCTTTACCTGAGGTGGTGGAGGATTTTCCTGGTTGGCCGATCGAAATTGTTATGCCTCCACTTTTAACCTGCCTTTTGGAGATATTGTTTGGACAATCTCGATTTAGAAAAAAGATTGTATGATATGATGAAGCAGAGAGAGTGTTTTGATAGCTTGGTTATGAGCTATGTTGTGTAGTAGCTAATAGTGTAGTTTGAAGTGGATATCTGTCTGCTGATTAGTATTTTTTATACTGTATATGTTTTTAAACCTTCTAAGTGCATGCTTGGATACAAAACTTTTCTAAATAATTTTATCACTTTTTTTTAAATCTAACTCAACTTTAACTCAAACTCACTATCCTCAATATAATTAAATAATATCACTCAATTTTTTATATACATTATATCAACTTTAATTCACTATTCATCTGTTCACATAATTTTAACTGACAATTATTTTATATCATCTCTCTCATATTTTTCAATAAAATTAATTTTAATTATTTTATTTTAAATATTATTTTAATATAAACTTAGAATTTCATTAACAACTAATCATATTATTTTTCAAATTAACCGTAGCAAACCAAAAAATCCAAAGAAAATCAAAACATCTTATATCCAACCATAATTTGGACCAATTGATATTAGGGTCGATCAAAACTCAAAAAATCAACCCAAATAAAATTTTTGGTTCGATTTTTTATATGTCTGTTTCGGTTATCGTTTTTTATTTTTAAAATTTCGGTTATATTGGGTCGTTTTCCGTTTAATTTTTAAAACAATTGAATAATCGAATGGATACAACATTAAATGAAAAAATAAAATATTAAATATATTTGTATATTATAAATTATAATTTAGTTTGGTTAATTCAACTGAATAAATCAATTATTTTGGTTCAATTAGTTCGGTTTGGGACAAAAGTTCGGTTGGCTCGGTTTTTTCAAAAAAATTGATTCAATTATTTCAATTTTGATATTTCAATCTGTCAGTTCAACTGAACCAACCAATGAACAGCCCTAAATAGGAACGACTTTTTTTTTTCTACCAAAACATAAAAACCATAAGAAAATAAATCAACAATGACTGATTTATTGGTTACCAAAAATTTGGTTCGGTTTGGATACGGTCCCATGAAACGACCTGGACTCAGTCTGAGCCGGAGTGTTTGGGGCTGAAAATGTTGCCCCATTTGNAAATTAGGTTTAGGTTTAGAATTTTCTGCTTTCTGTTCTCCGACTCTTCACGCCTCTTCCTCTTTCATCTCCTCCGGTCTCCCAGGTTCGGCGGCTAACATCTCCGGTGAGTTTTTTCTAGTTGTGGCCCTCATTTCTTGCGAAAGTGGCTTTCTTTGAAGATATAGTTTGTAATTAATTCTGTCACCTGTTTTTGGTTTCTTTCGACTCTGAAGATCATTTTAGGTTTTTTCAAACTGTACTTACGACGCTAAATCTTATTTTCGCCAATTTGTTTCTTAACGTGTGATATTGGTGCACCAGTCGGCTGCTCTTGAAACTTCGAGTTGGTTGCAGTACTTGCAACACTTTGTATTTAACTGATCTTTTGGTAGATGGTTTTCTTCGTTGAGCAACTTGTTTTATCAACTTGAAGTCTTATCACTTATGCATCTCTTTGCATCCTTCTTACTTTCTGTTATCCTTCATGTACTGAAAATTGTAATGTTTTTCTACGTGAATGTCTTTTTAGCTTTGGGATTTGCAGTTCAATCTTATCAACCCCACACATTGTAATAGTGAGAAATGGATATCGATCCAAAAGCACCAGAAAGTGCTGCTTCGGTGGCTCCAGGCGATACTGAAGTAAATACCTGAACCATGACAAACTCAATTAAATTTTTCTTACATTACATTTCATAATTATGTGATACTAATTGCTCGATTTTTTTTTTTTTTCAAGTCTACGACTAAAGATGCTGACAGCATATCTGAGACAATGAGTCAACTGAATATTGGAGAGGCATCCTTTGGCTTCAAGAAGAAGCCAGTTATAGTAATCGTTGTGGGTATGGCAGGTAACTAGTTTGTGCAAAAAATAACAATAAATCTCTGTTCCCTGTTATATACACATAGACACATATTATGCTTTGAAAACTCCATAAATTAATTATCAATTGTTCAGGAAGCGGAAAGACTACCTTTCTTCACCGGCTAGTTTGCCACACAATGGCATCAAATATCCGTGGTTATGTTATGAATCTCGATCCTGCTGTTATGACCCTTCCATATGGAGCAAACATTGACATCAGGGACACTGTTCGATACAAGGAGGTTATGAAGCAGTTCAATCTTGGACCAAATGGAGGAATTTTGACTTCCCTTAACTTGTTCTCGACAAAATTTGATGAGGTATATGTCCAACCTGCTTACGTGATCTTTGTTAAAGCACCTGCATTTCTCTTCTGTAAGATTACGTCAGCTATAATTAGGAGTTTAAGACATAAAATAGGAGTAGTGGTGTTGACTGGACAGACCGGCAGTTTGAAATTTGTAATTCAACTAAGCAGGATTTGTTTGTTTCATTTATAAATATTTAGGTTGTACCAACTATTCTTGGTTGTTTTGCTTCCCACTTGCTTTCTATAATTTTCCTTAGTTTCTACTAGTTACTTGGTCTACATCTGATCCATGTTAGAGGTGTGCTTTGTTGCTCCCCTGTATTTAATATATATCGTTTTGGAATCTCTT